CACCCACCCTCACTGATGCTGTCCCATGCCCCTGCCCCTTTCTGCGCCCAGCTTCGCGTCTGTCAAGCGTGCAGCTTCCGGCAGCCAGCGACGTGCTGCTGAAGATGATGACGGTGGCACGGCCATGCCACTGCCCACCCTACCCTGTGGCACTCTAAGACCCCACCCTTGCCACTTGCCGCTATCAAGAGCATCCCGGTGTGGTTGGCAAGGCTGCGTGCGCTCACCTGCTCCATCGTGTCGCAGGTCAGCACGCCAAACACAGTGGGCACGCCGGTGTCCACGCCCGCGTTGAGCACGCCGCTGGTGGCGGCGCTCACAACCGCGTCGTAGTGCGTTGTGGCGCCGCGGACCTGGGGCGGTTTATGAGAATGTTGTGGACAGGATACCACCTGAACGCACTGCATGAGGCAGCCTGGGAGGCTGGCTACAGAGGGGTTCCAACTCTGGGCATCCCGACCATGCTGCGGCCATCACTGCGCCGGGCCAGATCTGCTGCCATCGCCACCCCCGAATTCGCCTCCGCACCCACGCAGGGGTTCCTCACCACAACGCCGATGCACACAACCGCATCAAACTTGCCGCTTTTGGCCATGGCCTTCGCTACGACGGGCAGCTCAAAGCTGCCGGGCACCCAGACCACCTGCAGGCGGCAGAGCGGCAGTGCGGCACGCCGTGCGCAGCGTGAAGCGGCTGACGCTGTTCCAAGGGACCACTGCAATTGTGCTCAAGCTGCAGCTGATCGCACACAACGCCTCTCTGAATGAAACAGCACAGAGCGTGGGCATGCCCACACGTGCGAGCTGCAGTTTTCGCGGCCCCACCCACTTGGACGTTGTCCAGGTTTGCGCCATGGCTCTTGAAGGCGCCCAGCGCGCCCTCCAGCAGCAGCTTGGTGACGAGGTCGTTGAAGCGGCCCACCACAACAGCGAAGCGCATGTCGGGCTTGGCGACCACGGCACCGTGGCGGATGGTCGCTTCTGCACGCACACGCAGCGCGCGCCGCTGCTGCCGCCGCTGGGCCTGCTGGGGCACCGACGCGCCGCTGACGTTTGAAACTCGCATCACTGCGCATAAAGACGAATCGCAGGGGTAAAAATGGGCGTCCTCGGGGAGACTCGTGCGAAGAACTCACCGTTCTCACCGGTACGGGAGCTGCTGCTAGTCCTGAAGACATTCTTAGACATCACATTGGCGTTTTTCGCAATCGTGGGCCCGAGACCGCACCCTGCCTGTCTGAGCTGCGTTTGCATTGTGCTGTGCGAGGGGTATTTGAGTGACACACGATACTAAAGTATACCAGTTCACGGCTTTGAAGTCAACGCATAACATAGTGCCGGGTCGACCTCGCTGTCGAGCCGGCAGCTGGTCTTCTCTGTAGTCATCGTTGCGGCGGCCCGTTCGATTTCGTAACCGTCCATTTCACAGGAGCGAGGTCAAAATCAGCGTGACACCAAGCTCATGACAAGTCATCATTTCGCTCACGTCACCCCGAACCGCACTCAGCAGATCAACCAGATCTAGCGATCTGGCTCGTACCGCGATCTTCGCCCCAGGGCGCCTGCCGCTGTTTCGTGTGCGTCCCGAAGTTTCAAGGCGCTTCAACAGACCTATCATCATGGGTCGCAACGCTGCTAGCGAGCGCCTGTCGTCCCTCGACGGCCAGGCGCCGGAAAGCACCGACTTCGCCAACTACTTCTGCACGTACGCCTACCTGTACCACCAGGTATGTCTTGTTCCATGCCCGCGGCCTGGGCTAGCTGCCGTGCCGCAGCCTGCGCTGGCGGGGTGGTGGCGACGGCACGAGGCGGCGGCGGCAAGCGCAGCGGCTGTCGCTTGGGGCAGCCGTCCTGACTTTGGGCATGACCACCGGATGCTACAAGCAACCCTGCGGCGATCGTGCACACGGCGCAGCTATGGGCTGGTTCTGGCAGCCACCCCACTGCCCACGCAGCGAGCCCGAGAGGAGCAGGTCGCTCCCCCAGCCGCCAACCTGCGTCGAATCAGCATGACCCGCCACAGACTTGCAGGGAACCAACGCGCCCACCCCTTGACTGAACTGCGAGCGCAGAAGGACATGCTTGAGGACCACAAGCGGACTGGCGCCTACTACAACGCTGTGCTGCAGAACAGGCGCCAGTTCCACGGAAAGGTGACCCGGCCCTCTGGGAGAGCGCAGCGGCCCTGCGACCCAGCAGTCGTGGCACAACGCGCGTGGCACAGATCAGCCTTTGCACCCTGCTAGGCTACCTGACAGCGGGCTCGAGGAGGGTTTGTGGGGCCGTGCGCGCCCGCGCCGCGGCGGCGGCGGCTTAGAGCCTGACTGATCTTGGTGCTGTCGGCGCGCTCGCTCCTCTGCTTGCAGGTGGTTCTGGATGTGGGCACTGGCAGCGGCATTCTGGCCATATTTGCCGCCAAGGCAGGAGCAAAGAAGGTAAGCAGAATCACGCGCAGAGCAGTGGCGCAACACCATTATTCGGTTGGCCCGCGTGGCGGGGCCTGATCTGCGGCCAGCCAGACATCTGGGTAGCTCCAGGTCACGCCACGGGGTTTTGGGGCTTCCTGGGCTTGTCCTTTGGGCCGTGCATGCTCTAGGTGTGCGATGCGCCTCCTGAGCACCTTCCATGTGGATCCCAATCCCAACCCAGGTATACGCAGTTGAGGCCACTGACATGGCGAAGACGGCGCGCAAGCTGGTGGAGCACAACAAGGTGGGAAGGCAGTTTGTGGCCTTGAACGGACATCGCACGGTGTGCGGGCGTCGAGGCAGCAGGCGGGTGCAGCAGCTGGGTGTGGCAGGCACGCCCTGCACAACGCAGGTGGCCCAGGCAGCAGCAGGGGCGCGGGGGTTTGTGAAGCATCCTGCATGTCTGGACTGTCTGTTCTGAACATCGCGCGCGCAACGCGTATGATCCTGCTACAGTTCGGTGACGTCATCGAAGTGATTCAGGGCACCATTGAGACCATCGAGCTGCCGGAGAAGGTGAGTGATAATGTAACGCGGGGCACCAACTAAACACTTTGCGCGTTTGGAGGCCTATGCACCAATGAAAAGCAGTCGTGCCGATGTCCTGGCACGCCGCTGCAGAATTAGGTGGCATGCTGCGGGATTGTGGGTGCAGACCTCAAAAAAACATTGCCGAGTGTGCTTGCCCGTTGCTGATTGTGAGGCTGAGTGTGCTTGCTCCTTGCTGAGTGTGAGGCTGAGTGTGCTTGCCCCTTGCCCTACACGTGTGCCAACGCCGCGCTGCCCCCCCAGGTGGACGTCGTCATCAGCGAGTGGATGGGCTACTTCTTGCTGCGCGAGTCAATGCTCGACAGCGTGCTGCTGGCACGGGACAAGTGAGGGCCTGGGTGCGAGAGGCGCCTGGTCCGGCGTTGGGTCGTTGGCGTGATCAGCAGGTTCCTATGGCGGCTGCTCAAGGCGCAGTGCAGCGCCTCAACTTGGGCGTTGTTGCATCGCCCTTTCGCACCATCCCGGCCGCTTCCAACCACGCGCGGTCACCTATCACCCGGCCCCCTCAGGTTCATGAAGCCAGATGGCGCCATGTACCCCAGCCACGCGCGCATGTTCATGGCCCCCATCCACACGGAGGTCGGCTCGCGGCGCAACACAGAGTTCCAGGTGCGGCCGGGTTGGGTTGGGCAAACAGGGGGTACTGGAAGGGCACCCCTGGAAGGTCGGGGGTCCCTCAAGTGGTGCGGGTCTACGCAGGTTTTCCGTGAGCTGACTTCTGTGCAGCTGCGGAGATTGCGCAGTGAGTCACGTGAAACGCTGGCATTGCCTGTGTTATCAGCGACAAGGGAGCTTGAAAGCCCTCGTATGGCGCGCGCCCTGTGGCCGCAGGGCTCTATGGAGGGGTGGGCTGAGTTCATCCAGGAGATGCAGAGTTTCTACCAGGTAGGTTTGTGGCTGTCTGGCACCAGGCTGTAAAGCACAATAGGAGGCATCAGGGAGGTCGCCATCGCTCCCGCGTTGACGCCAGCTATGCAGTTGTTCAGCCTCAGCCATACAATCCTCTCACGACGATGCGCGCGCAGCGCCTCTGAAGCCGCTCAGCCTGCACGTTTTGCCCAACAATCCACCTCTGACCTCTGCGGTCCCCAGGTGGACCTGGAGTGCCTGAACGACACCTTCCGCCAAGAGCAGCGCGAGTACTACCTTCAGACGGCGCAGGTGGGGTGGTCGGCAGGCATGGGCTTCCGGGGCTGCCTAGGAGGGAAGGCACGCACCAGCACGCCTGGCGGCAAGCGCAGCTAGGGCGCAGAGCTCGGAAGCAGCCCGTCTCAAGCCAAGGGATTGTGCCGCGCCTAGGCGCGGGATCAGTACTTTCGGCTCGGACACTGACCCCTCCCCATTCCCTCAAACGCCACCTATGCTTCCAGTGGTGCGACGTGCACCCGAGCCAGCTGCTGGGCCCGGGGACGCCCTTCAAGTCCTACGACTTGGGGAAGGTCACAATCGAGCAGATCAAGGTGGGGGTTGCGTCATGTATTGCTGCAATCCGATGTATTGACAGGCTGCAGAGTATCGCATGGGACAAAGGTGGGATGGTCTGGGCTGTCAACGCCACACTGCTCTCAGATGCGGCCCCTACTTTCTTTGCCAACACCCCTGATGTGTCGGTCCCCTAATTGTTCTCACGACACACCGCGAACCCTGGCGTGTGAACAGGCTGGCATTGAGGAGGAATTTGAGATGGATGTCGTCGAGGGCGGCCCCGTCCACGCCTTCTGCGGCTGGTTCGACGTCGCCTTCCGCGGCAGCGACGCGCACCCCGCCGACACGCCCGTCACGCTCACCACGGCGCCCGACCCCACCGGCGCGACCCACTGGGGCCAGCAGAGCTTCTACGTCGTGCCGCCGGTCGAGTGCTCCCCCGGCGACATGCTCAAGGCGTCGATCAAGGTCGACCGGCGGAAGGACAACCACCGGCTGCTGAGGGTGGAGATGGGCGTGAGCATCGACGGGCAGCCGGGCAGCAGCCGCCAGCTCGCGTGGAACATTGAGTAGGGGCCAGCACTGCGCTGCCGCTGGTCGTCGTCCCTGCCTGGATGCCGTGGCCTCGCCCGCGCGGTCGTAAGCTGTGTGGCTGCAGGTCGTGGTTTGCGTGTGCGCACACGTGTCTGTCATCACAGTATGGCACCTCCTGGGCCCCGGCCTGGATGGCCAGGTGCAAGCCGTGGCCGGGTGCAAGCCGAGGGTGCAGTGAGCGGTCCTGTCGTCGCTGGTCGTTGCAGGGGCGCGTAAGCGCGCCCCCCTGGTGCCTGTGGGATTGGTTGCGCCGCAGCTCATGCATGCCCTACACCGCGGGGGCGTGGTGTCACCTGGGTGGATGTTCACTGATTGTCCCTCATTCAAGTGTCACGCCTCGTTGCGTGCACCCGCGAGCCGGCGTATCCACGCGGCTATCCGTGTCATACCACCGCACGACTTTGGGTCATTTGCGCCTGTGGCGCTTCGTGTGCGTCTTTGTGGCCCGCCACGTGTCCCAGCGCGTGCACCGCCTTCGCGTCGTCTGTCACCTCAATTCCACAGATGAGAGAGAGTGAGTGATTGGCAGTGGATGCGGCCTTTTTTCACTCGGCACAATGGCCATTTGACTTGTTGTGGTGGACGTGTGCCCTATGTGAAAGCGAATACAGCGACCATTTATGAGGGGACAGTGCCACAGGCACATGAGAGGCAGTCAACATCCACCAGGCTACCACGGAGGCAAGTCCCATGCTCGCAAGCAGTTCACCGCAGAGCAGTTGTGTTGTATGGAGGAAGGAGGTCCTGTGGGTGCGGGGCGCAAAACGCTTTGCTCTGCGGCTCAGCTCAGCCGCGGGACGCACATGTGGCGAATTACAACCTGGAGCACAGCAGCCAGTACAAGCAGCAGGCGACGAGCAGTGGGGCGGGTAGCCAGCGGGTGCCACATCAAGCCTGCGCAAGTCGCCTCCGAGTGGAAACAATGTACTACCACGATCTCAACGCATGCAAGCTGCTCGTATTTTGAGGCAGAAGGGGCTTCAGCTGGCGATCTGGCGCCCGCGGTCCCTGCTGCCGTGTGCGGCTCACCAGGACGGAATGGGGAAGCCCCGAAGCGCAAATACTTCTCGCGCCGCATCCACTAAGGCCCACTACATCAGCCATGTGCAGGTGCGCGCAACGTCACAGGCGGCGCCGCTTCATGAGGCGCTCTGCTGTATCTTCTTCCACTGACCAGGATTCTGCTGAGTGTATGGCCACTACCAGAAGCAATGCGGCAGCTCCTGTGCTGTGGCATTGATGTGATGAGCCTTGCCCTGTGCAGCTTGACAGCGAATTGCACAGCTCTGCTTTTGTACGGGAGCCCCGCACCGCTCCACTAGCGGCGCCCCCACCCCGACGACCCGCGGACGCCAGGTGCTCAATGCGGACAATTCCACCGCGTCACCGTCGCTGCTGCTGGTGTTTGACACCGAACGCTACCTCTTCAATTGCGGCGAGGGCCTGCAGCGGCTGGCGCTCGAGTCCAAGGCAAGGCGCCGTTGCCTGGATTTCGGGCCCATGCAAGCCCATGATGCATCCCGCCAACTTATCACAGACTTGCTTTTGATTGGTTGGTGCACTGTCAGCAGGCAGTGCTGCCACGCCCTTTTCAGATGGAGCTCGCTTCCAGACGCGGCTGCCCGCCAGCTCTCACGCGCCCCGCCGGGGCCCGGGCCGCCGCCCCCTTTCCCCCAGGTGCGCATATCGCGCATCAACACCGTGCTGGCGACGCGCACCTCGACGGACACCCTCGCCGGGCTGCCGGGGCTGCTTCTGACGCTGGCGCCGGCGGGGCCGGATCTCGTGAAGTGCGGCGGCCTGCTGGATGCAGAGCCCTTCAAGGCGCGGCTGATCGGTGAGGCCTCTCGCGCGGCGGGGTGCGGGGGGCTGTGGGAGTCTAGGGCAGCGACAAGGGTGGGGGCTGGCTTGCAAGCGGTGCAGGAGGAGTCGCAGGTTACGCAGCAGCAGGGCACAGAAACATGTGCACCGTCAGCACGGTCAAGAATTTCAGACAACAGCAGCACCACGACATGCGCTTGTGCAGTGCCAGTATGGCCAGAGTATCAGGGCGACAGCAGCAGCATTGGTTGGATGAAATGCGCATCTGGAGCGTAGCATTGCCAAAAATCAAGGAGCAGCCGCACGAGCAGCAGCAGGAGCAGGAGCAGGAGTAGGAGCCCAGGCACAGCAGCAGGACCAGCAGCAGGGGCAGCAGCAGAGACTGGTGCGGCGGGCAGCAGCAGAGGCCTTGCCATCCCCACCTGACGCGCTAGCTGCGCACCTTCATACCCTGCCGCTGCGCAGGCCCGCCTGGATGCCGCAGCTACTCGCAGGCGTTCCAGCCCTACGCCAGCAATAACATCTCTTTGGAAGTTGTGGAGGCGGGTGCGGGGGGCCGGTCGTGGCTTGCATTTTGGCGACGGCAAGGCGACATTGTAGCACACCAGCCTGGCTGCGGCGGTGTCCGGTGTGGATGCCTGCGATGGTGCCAAGCGAAGGCGGTGGCATCGGGATTAGCATGGCGCTGGCATTGACATGGGTTTGCCAAAGTGCCTTGCAGCGGCGCTAGCGCCTGCCCTGCGGCCACAAACGGTTGGCACCACCTGCCAATTCCATCCCCTTGCACATCCATCCGCAGGTGGCAGCTGCGCCGCCCCTGTCGTCCAGAATCCGTTCGTGACCATCACTGCCATCTACACGCGACCCTGCAAGCAGCAGCCCCATCAGCAGGGACTGCCAGTGGCGGCAGCATCGGGCGGGGCCGAGGGTGGCAACGCGGGTGCAGGCAGCGAGCCTGTTGCCAAAAAGCAGCGCACAGGGACCGAGCCGTCTGGCTCCACCAACAACGGTCCTACAGGGGCGGGCAGTCCTGCAGAAACAGCAGCAGCAGCGGCAGCAGCAGCAGCGGCAGCGGGGGAGGGGGAGGGCGTGTGCCTGTACCTTTGTGAGCTGGCGGATGTTCCTGGCAAGTTTGACCCGGTCAAAGCCAAGGCGCTCGGGGTGCCACCCGGCCCGGTGAGTGGAGACGGCCGACAGGGGCGCTGGGAGCACCCTCGTACCTTTGGTTCGAGGTGGCCGCCATTGACATGGTCTGGGGCCTGGGAGCAGCTGCCTAGTGTTGAGGACCTGGCGCAGCGGTGTCGAGTCGCAGGTTGCACCTCGTGATGCAATCGCCTTGGCAGCTGCCAGAGACTTGCGGTGTCATTCACATGCATCGCTGACTTCTAACCTTCCCTTCGCCACGCCGCGCGCCACTTTGTGGTTGCCAATTTGGACCACAGCTGTATGGCCAGCTGCAGCGCGACACGCCGGTCACGACGCCGGCCGGCGTCACTGTGCAGCCGTCTGACGTCATGAGCCCCGCCGTCCCCGGCCCCCTGCTGCTGATCGTTGACTGCCCCACCGCGGCCCATCTGGCGGCGGTGGAGGGTGCACCCCAGGTGCAGCGGCTGCAGCAGCAGCAGCAGCAGCAGCAGCGGCAGCAGCCAGGTGAGGCAGCGACGGCGGCAGGAGCGCAGCAGCAGCCAGGGAGGGAGTTGTTTGTCATCCACTTGACGCCTGCTGATGTCAGCGAGTCGGCGGCCTACCAAGCGTTCATGGCTCGCTTCGGCCCCGCATGCCGGCACGTGCTGGCCTCGGCGGCGGGGCAGCGCGACACGACGTGCCGCGCGGCGGCCAGCCTCCAGACGAAGCTGAACGTGCTCGACCCCTCTGTTTTCCCGCTGGGGGCGGTCGCGGCCGCAGCGGCGGGAGACCCGCAACAGCAGCAGCAAGAGCAGCAGCAGCAGCAGGAAGAGCAACTAGAAGGCGTCGGCCCGGCCGCCGGCCCCCACATGACGCGGCTGGTCTTGATGCCCGCCAGGCAGCGCGGCCTCACCGCGGCCGACGTGCCGCCCCCGCTGCAGCTGGCGGAGCTGCGCCATGGGCTGCTGGCCGCGCACCCCCGCGTCGAGGCGCTGCTGCGCCAGTTCCGCGCCTCGCGCGCCGCGCTGCTCGCCGCCCTAGATACCGCGGGCGGCGGCGCGGCGGGCGGCAACGGGGCCGAGGCGGCGGAGGCGGAGGCAGCCGCGGCTGCGGTACCGGCCGAACTGCGGGGCGTGGGGCGCGACGAGCTGGAGGTTGTGCTGCTGGGCACGGTCAGCGCGGTGCCCAGCAATTACCGCAATGTCAGCAGCTACTACCTGGACCGCTTCGCGCGCGGCGGCGCGCTGGCGGACTGCGGAGAGTGAGTGGGGGCGCCGGGCACAGTCAGGCGTGGGGCCGGGGGAGGGGGCAGGGGCGGTCCCCCTTGGGACGGCGGCGTGCGGTGCGTCAGCGATTGCTTGCGCATCGGTGTTGCCGATGTTGGCGTTTTTGGTGTGCGCACGTACACCTCGGAGGGAGCTGCAGCGCGGGCCCTTGGAACGCAGCGCCTGCCGCCACCTTGCCCCTCTGCTCCCAGGGACGCGATGGGGCAGCTGGAGCGCCGCTACGGCGCGGCGGACGCGGAGCGGCGCATCCAGGAGCTCCAGTTTGTGTGGATCAGCCACATGCACGCGGACCACCACGGCGGCCTCTACCCGCTGCTGCTGCGGCGCCAGCGCGCCGGCGCGCCGCCGCTGCTGGTCATCGGGCCGTTCCCGCTGCTCAGGGTGCTGCAGGAGTACAGCAGGGTGCGCGCGCGGCGGTTCCCGTGAGGGGCGGGGCGGGGTCGGTGGGCGGATTCGGCGTATTGCTTCACCCGGCCCGCTTGCTGGACTGGCGTCACCGCCGGCGACTGAGTTGATGCGCTTCTTTGGCAACCTGCTGGCCTGCTGCGACCGTGCCAAAGCTCACACTTTTGGCGTCCATCCGATTAGGGCGTCGCATCCGCTGATTGTCGTTGCCGGCTCCCTCATTCCCCCTCCCCCTCCCACCTTCTGCCGCCCCTTCCCTTTCGCACACTCGCACATGCACTCACACACGCACACCCTCGCCCCGCCAGGTGCTGCCCCTGCGCTACACCTTCCTCCCCAGCTCCCACTTCCACGACTCCCAGCACCCGGGCGCCCGTGCGCCGCCCAGGGCAGTGCTCGACGCCCTGGAAGCTGCGCGGGCGCGACTGGGCCTCTCCCAGCTGGAGGCGTTCCCTGTGCACCACGTCGCCCGCAGCACCGGGCTCAAGCTCTCCGGCGGCGGCGGCGGCGGGGACGCAGCTGACGGCGGCGGCGGCGGCGGCGGGCGGCCGCCTTGGAGCGTGGTGTTCAGCGGCGACACGCGCCCCTGCGCGTCCGTCGTCGCCGCGGCGCGCGGCGCGACGCTGCTGGTTCACGAGGCGACGTTTGAGGACGAGCTCGCGGGGGACGCGCTGGCGAAGCGGCACAGCACGCTGAGCGAGGCGCTGGGGGTGGCGCGGGACTCCGGGGTGTACCGCACCGTGCTCACCCACTTCAGCAGCAGGTACCCAAAAATCCCCGTGCTCGCGGGCACGGGCGCGGCTGCGGACGCAGACGCGGACGCGGGCGAGGGGGCCGCCGGCACAGCGGCGCCGGCCGGCGGCACTGCGCTGCTGTCGATGGTGGGGCGCAGCGTGGCCGTCGGGTTTGACTTCATGACCGTGAACCTAGCGGACCTGCCGTGGCTGCCGCTGGTGGTGCCAGCGGCGGACGAGCTGCTGCGGGAGGAGGGCTTTGTGGATGGCGCGGACGAGGGCGAGGGCGGCGAGGGCGCCGCTGCTGCAGTGCCGGGCGCGGGCGGCGTACGCCAGGAGGGGCGGTAGCACGGGGGCGGAGCTGGCGTGGTGTAACAGCGCTGGGCTAGGTCTCTGCACCCATGATGGCTGATGGCGAGGGTTGTGCGTTCACAAGCATGCCAGAGGCTTGGGCAGGGTTGGTGCGAGCTGCTTTCAAGGAGAGCGATGTGTTTACCCCGGGGCGCTCTAGCAGCGACTGCGCTGGCCGGCACCCCGAGCACGCCTCGACGAGCAAGCAGCGTCTCCGCGCCCTGCGCACAAGATGCGAGGCGGCACAGCCTGCTGCAAGCACACATGCACCACCAGACTCTGCTGCAGAAAGTGATACGTGATGCGGGCCACAAGCAACTCTCATGCAGTCATCAAACAAGGGAAAGCTCAAACACAACAACTGATGGTCGTGGCCGCCGGCGTGCGTGCCCAGAAGCTCAGGACGCGACCTGCTTGCTTTCACTCAGCGCCTGCACCCTCAGCCGCACACCCCGGATCGGCCTGCATTTCTGCTTGTGGCCCCCCTCCGTCCAGTCCTTCCTCTCGCAGGCTTCACCGCAGTACCTGCGGCAGGGCAGCGCCAAGGAGAGAGGGTTGCACCAGCCCCCGTTTGTGCCGTTTCTGGGGATAGAGCGGTGATGGGTGCAGCAGGATGATGAGGCCCCCTCAGCTGCCCAAAAGCATGCCCAACAACAGCAGTGACATGCTGGGGTGCGATCAAGACGACTGCACGGGGCACATAAAGGGGCACCGCCCCAAGGCGCACTTGCCAAGCATCCAGTCATCCACCCACGCGCATCCGCACACGTGACATCATGATGGTGCCAGCCGGCACACCTGACCGCCCTGCAACCGCGGCAGAGCCGCAGCTTGACGCCCTCCTCCGCCTGCGTCTTGCCACAGGCAGCACAAGCCGCCGCCGCGGACGACGGGCGGGCCCCTGCCCCGCGTGCAGGCGCGCCAGCTTCCCCCGCTGCGACTCCGCCCCCGCTGGCTGACGTTCGCGCCGCCGCGCCCCCAGCCGCGTGCCCTCGCGCTGCGGCCCGCAGCCGCCATAGCACGCGCGCCGCGGCGGCCGCGTCCTCGTCCAACGTCCAAGGGGCGCCTGCAAACTCGGCCAGCGCCGCCTCCAGCCCCTCCACCCCTCCCAGCGCCGCCACCGCCGCCGGGCCCGTGGAAGTCAGGCGGTCGAGCGACTCAGCCAGGTGCCCCGCGGTCTCGCTGACAATCAACACAGCCTCTGCCCGGCTCGGCCGCTCCTCCGGCCGCGCGCTCGGCGACACGACCGCGCCCTCACCGTGTTGGACCACGCGCGCAAGCCCCGCGCCGACCGCTGCAACCAGCCCCGGCGCGGCGGCGGTGGCAGCGAGGCGGGCAGGGCCAGCGGCGGCGGCTGCCTCTGTGAGGGCTGCCAGGGTGCGGGCGGCGAAAATTGAGACGACGTCCTGCGGGTCGTCAAGATGACGGGCAAAAGCAGGCAGGACGCCGCCTGGCAGCGCGATGGCCAGAAACGCCGCCGCTGCGGCCGGGTCGGCCGCGACGAGGTTTGCCGCCGCCTCCATCGCAAACGCGGCGCAGCCGTCCGGCGGCGCCCCCGCGCCGGGCCGCCGGATCGCGGCCGCGAGCGCGGGCAGCGCGGCGGGGCGCAAAAGCAGGTCGGCCCGCGCGGGCCCCACGTTGGCGAGGATGGCGACGCAGTGCGCCGCCCACATGCGCACGTCGTCTCGCGCGTGGGCTGTCAGGCGCAGCAGCGCGGGCGCCGCGCCGGCGTCGAGCGCCGCGCGCGCGGCGGCGGCGCGGGAGCCATGGTGCTCCAGCAGGATGCTGAGGAGCTTGGTCGCGGGCATGAGCATGTGCAGCGACGTCTCGTGCGCCACGTTGCGCGCCGCCGCGTCGGCGACGCCCGGCGTCGCCGCGGCGCGGAGGTAGGCGCCCTCGCCGCCCGCCGCCCCGGGCAGCAGCAGCTGGCGCAGAGCCTCTGAGAGGAAGCCGAGGGCGCGCGCGTGTGCGGGCTCACGGAGGTGGCCGCCATCTGCGCTGACCGCCGCGCGCGCCGCCGCCCGCACGAGGCCCGGCTCTGACACTGCGCGCAGCGCGACCGGCGGCCCGCCTGCGGCGATGAGCCCCCAGAGCGGCGCGAGCGCGACGCTGAAGCCGCGGCTGCTGCCCTTGGACCGCGCCGCGGCGGCGCAGAGCGAGTCCACCAGATGTGGCGTCTGGAGGGCGACAGGGCGCAGCTCATGGCATGTCATCATCAGCTCGATGGCGGTCGCCGCGGCGTCGGCGATGATGGGGTCGTCAGGCCAGCGGCGAATGCAGCCGCACAGGGCTTGCAGCATGCCGGGCGTGCGGGCAATCTGGTGCGGTTTGGGCGCAGGGATCGGGCTTCAGCAGTGGCGGGGCGCTGGCAGGAGGCGTGGCCTTCCGCTGCCTTGTGGTGTTCGTGTCATTGCTGGCGGGAGAGCAGACAAGCAATGACACTCGGCTGGCAGGCAAGAAGGCCGGAGACGCTGCGCAGCGCAGGGTTGACCCCCGCCCAACGCCCAAGCGAGGGAGGCGTCACATCAACAGTCAATGGATTGTTTTTTTTGGGGGGGAGGGGTAAATCCAGAACGGCAGCTTGGCCCCGCTTACCTGCTGCCGCCGGTGGCCGCCCTGATGCGGCAATGTGGGGCTGAGGAACCCAATAAGCAGCCCCCGCACCCCCGCCGCCGCGAACGCCGACCTGAACGGCGCGGCGTCGCGGCCGCGCTCGCAGCTGGCGCGGAGGATGTGCTGAAGCTGCAACAGCTGCTCCTGGGGCAGCGGCGTGTCGGGGGCGGCGCTCGACGCCTCATCCAACTCACACAGCGCCGCGTCGAACTTCATCGCTGTGGCCGGGTCCAGGCCACCGGCCGCGCCTGCACGGCGCAGGACAGGATCCATTTCGATCAATTGCTGCAGGGCGCGCTCGAGGCGCGCCTGGGCGGCGGTCATGCTGCGTGTGCGGCAGGCCGGGCAGGGTGACTGCACCACCAGGGTGCACAACTTTGCTCCAGGGGCGGCAACGCGCTGCACCACCAGGGGTGCGCGAGGGCAAGAGCCTGAGTCAGCAAGCGAAGAGTGAAGAATCGTCTTGATTTCGACTGTCAGAACAAGGTGGACCCGCTGTCTCGTTCGTTGTCAATCAGTTTCGGTGATCAACAGTACTGTACGTATGTGATACTGGAAGCACCGAGCCGCTGCTGAAAGGGGCTGTCTTGAATGGTTATATTGATTGAAACTGGGCGGTCGTCCTATCTCATAGCGGTGGCGCGGCTGGTTGCATGACGCTTATCACCCGAGGCACTGCACGGTCAGCACCGCCAGGAGAGTCGTGCACCAGCGCAAGGGCAGGGGGACGCACGTGCGCCCAGGAGGAGTAAGTGCACATGAGCATTGTCAGGTGATTTGTGAGTACCGGTGGGAAGGTTACGGGCAGGGATACCCCACTCGCTTTGTGCACTCTGCTGCTTGCCGCACACTAGAATCCCCGGTGAGACGGTGACGGCCGACTACGGCTCCAAGGTAGTTCAAGCATACTTTCATTATCTGTGTGGTACAAAGGTTGTTGAAAGTGCGCAAATGTAGTTGACAGTACCCTCTCTGCAGCACCCGCACCACTCAAAAGCCGACAGGCACCTCCAGGGCGTGCTCGGTTGGCTGCAAACAGGTTCGTATGTGTCTAAGCATGGCCTTGGGGTACAGAACTTCCACACGTGACAATATTGCATGCTCTCTCCTCTTCACCTGCGTTTTCAGTGCACTCCCGCCCCCGAACGCGGGCTTGCAGTCCAGGGCCCCTCGGGTGGCCTCCCCCCCTCTCACCCTCCCCGATTCCAGCTGTGCCTCTTGCAGGCTGCACCGCGGCACCCTGCCGCAGGGCAGCGACAACGGACAGTGTGCACAACACATTGTGCGCTGGCGGAGCAATTAGAGTGGCAGATTTGCAAAATGACGAAAGGGGCATGCTGGCACACCTGACTGGATGCTCCTGCCGCCGTGGCACAGAGCGATTTCAAGCATGAGCGGCCTGCGCAGCTGAGGCCATTCCATAAAGCAATTATTACTGCCTTGTCCCTGATCATTTCCAACACAACGCACGTTTCGGGTTGCGACTGTCAGATCGCACTCAAGACCACGCACTTTTGGGGCGTCAATCGTGCAAAGCAACCTGAGGACGCCCAAGATTAAAGGGGGATCGGCTGTGCTGCCACAGACCTCGGCAGCTGCATTACAACAGCGTGCGCAGCAAAGCGGCCATCGAATTGGGCTGCACGCCGCCATGCCGCCCAAAACGCCGGCCACCACTGCGGCACGCAAGGAGGAGTCCCGTCACAATCAGTGGTGGTACCCCAGGCGCTGCGAGCTGCCAGGCTGTGACGCTGGGGGGCAGACCCAGCTCTACAAGTGCTCTGCCTGCTGGTTCGTAAGGCTGGCGGGCTAGCCGATGGCAGCGGCGCGTGGGGCTGGCCAGCGATGGCTGCAGGGGCATGGCTGCTGCTTGCTTGAAATACGCACATTCTGCATCGCATGTGTGTATGCTCACCTTTAGGCCAGTGCAGCACTGCCTTGGGCCGCCCAGGCCTGTCGCAAGCTTTGGCAACACGTGTTCCTGCCATGACCCCGCACTGTCCCCTTCCCTCGCAGCATGGTGGAGTACTGCTGCCAGGAGCACCAGCGGGACGACTGGAAGGCTCACAAGAAGGGTGCGCGCCTGCATGTGCGTGAGTGTGTGCCTGCACGGCGACACGCGCACGCATGTGCGCGTGGGTGGATGCGTTCAGAAAACGTGGGTGATGTGTGTGCACGTATGCAGTGGGATTGAATTGCGAAACGGCAGGCCGTGGAACTGCTGCACAGGTTTGTGTCACTTTCTGATACAACATTGCATGTTGTGTGTCCACTCTATCACTCACGGCGTCGCGTCCCCTGCAAGTCTTGCTCGGGCTCCGAATCCCCTTAACCCCTTGTCCCTCCACACCAACCCTGACATCGGCTCGCTGATGCTACTTGGTCCTGCTACAAAGAGTGCAAGGTCTTCCAGCGCTTGGTGGGATCCTGAGCGGGCGATATGTGCGCGCCATCAATCAGATAGATATCAATGGAACATGGGCAGGGTGTGTGTGGGTTTGGGTGTGTGTGTGTGTGTGTGTGTGTGTGTGTGTGTGTGTGTGTGTGTTTCAACAGCGTGCACCATCTGCACAGATGTGCTCAACCCCAGCACGGCATGAGGGGGTTTGCATGCACACCAACCCACCCCGCCCCCTCTCCCCCGGGGTCCCCACGCACGCAGATGCATAGGCTCGCGCACGCACACACATGCACATACAAGCAGATACGCACATGCACTCATGTGCACCACCACGCACGCACGCATGCGTGCGATCATACAACAACATGCATGCTTGTGTGCTCGCACGCTTGCCTGCGCACGCCCCGCCTTGACCCCCACGCACACCCGCGCACACCCGCGCACACCCGCGCACACCCAAACAGGCACCCAAACACACACATACACACACCCATACATCCACCCAAACACACCCCACCACGCACACACAGAACATGCGCGCCACCTTCTACAACGATGAGGACATGCTGGAGCGCTTCCCCCTCAGGCCGCGCAACCAGCGGCCACGGCGCGCAGCGGCCCCACCGTCTGGGAGCTCATGCGCACTGTGCCTGACACCGGACAGCAAGGTGGGCTTGAAAAACGGGATGTCTGCAGTAGCCATGGCTGCCTGCATGCGTCTGACAGCCTGATTCGTGTGTTGCTTATGTGGGTGTGTGCGTCACCTTGGCTGCTATCCATCTGAAAGAGGGGTTCATGCACGTGACCTTGGGTGTGAGTTTAGCCGGTCTATGCTCTCATGTGTGTCTGTGAGGTTGCTCGCATGTACGTGTGCATGTCTGTGTGCTTTGGGGGGGGGGGTGGGGCAGGTGAGTGGGTGCGTGGATGGGCACAAGGCTGTGTGTACATGATTGCTGCGATCACGCATAACCACTTGGCCTGATTGTCGCGCTCTCTGCGCACATACACCCACGAAGCCCCTCCTGCTTATTGGCCTGCACTCGCAGGTGGGGATGACGGTCACAGAATGCTGCGGCCAGCCAGTGTGCAACACGTCTCACCAGTACGAGCTGATGTCATACTCACGGGATTACTGCGAGCGCTCGCACGACCGCTACACACTCTGCGGGTGCGCGCACGGGTGGCGGAGGGCGGGGCATGTTGGGGAGGCTGTACGCGGGATGAGCTCAGAGCAGTGGGGGCCAGGCAGAGGAGGGGAGGGCGGTTGTCTCGGTTTGAGGGTTTCGACGCACATTCAGCGGCTGGAGTCCCCCAGAAACGCAATTGATGATGGCTAGTTTGTGTGGTTGAATCCTAACCCCAGCCGCATGGATGCCACAGCCCACGCATCGCGTCAAGGCAAGCACCCGCCCAAGCATCAGTCACCGCTTAGTGTAACCGCCCCGTGTCCCCGGCCGGCCAGGTACCACGGGGTGGAGGCCGCCTGCGACAAGTCAAAGGACTGGAGGGAGTGCCCCAAGTGAGGCCAGGCGTGACTGCCTGGCTGGAAGCTGTGCCTGCGGGTTTGCCGGGCGTCCCGATGAGACGAGGGGCGTGACGTGCGTCGGCGAGGCTGGCACATCGCCGCACGCGACACAGCAGTCGTGGGCGCTGCTTGACTGGCAGGATTTCCGCTTCTTGGGAGCGCTTGGGGGAAGCAATGGTGCCTGTCAAACACACGCACTTCACGCTCGTCGCATCGGCCTCATCACTCCCGCCCTCCACCACCACCCTAGGTGCACCCAGGCAAGCTCAAGGTCTGACCTGCCTGACACCCTTTGGCGCGGCCTCAACCCCTACAACTTCTGCCCCATGCTCTCAAAAGACGTGCCCCGCCACTCCATATGCGACATCTGCGAGGAGTGCAGCCAGCCCTTCATTGTGGGCATGGAGGGCGGCGCCTCGGCGGCGTCCGGGTTCATGTGCATGGGTTGCTCAAACAAGTCGTTTCTGCGCCGCGGGTAGGGCGGCGTGGGGCAGCTCGACCAATTGAGCGCTGTGCCCCCCAGTGCCACTGTGTGAGGGGCCCGGTCAGCGTCCCCATGGATGGATGGCGGCAAAGCCGTCAGTGACGATGGCGCTGCTGCCCGCGCCCAAGCGCATCAGGCGGCGCATTTCCAGAAGCAGGACGGCAGGCTGAGGTGCGTGCGTCGGTCCGCAAAGGCTGGCCGTGCACCGGCGGCATTGCCAGTGCGGGCGCGAGCCCAGTCAGCTCAGCACACCGGGCGCTGCTGTGCGCAACACGCGACGCCTGCCAGGCGACCCGGCCCAGTGGGGCCGAAGATAATTGATACTTCAGCAGCGGGCACTGCTGCAGCTTTTGACAGTGCAGGACCTTTTTCTCACCAACGGTTCCATTATTCTCAGTGGAGTGTATCCTGTTCTATGCAGTGAGCGTATTGGTGCTACCAGGGCCGCATAGGAGACGGCTGCTGCGCAGGTGTGATAAGGTTACGTTTCTGGTGCGCGCCATGTTACAACACAGCTTTTGTAGTGTGTGGCTGAGAAAATGCAAATTGCATGGCAGTGCGGCAGAGGCAATGGAGTCACATGCGGATTGTGACACGACATCACCCAAGCAGGTTAGGCAATGTACTCCAACATATGATAAGGGCATCTGCATGAAGCCTGTGTAAACAATCAGATATGAAGCAATAGGTTGGGCCATGCCGTAATCACACAAAGTGCGGTCTGTCTGGACGTGGCGGGGCTCCAATGACAAACAGCGGCCCCTGATGTATGGCAGCTGCGCGCACCAAGGCTGGCCCACAGCCCCCTTGGTGAATTTCCTTGCTCACAGTAAAACATCATCATGGCTAAGTACGATGAGACCATTAGGTAATCGTGGTGCTGACACTCACCTGTCACCATAGGTAGATCTGATCTCAACGGTGGTTTCGCAAGTTATATGTGTACGAGAAAGAATGACATCGTACGGTAGATGAAGAAGAGGCGTTGCAGCTCGTCGAATCTGACAGAGCAGTGTCCCAGTCCCGTTGTTCAAACTTTTTTCGACAAGTTATGAATCACGAGCCACCAAGGATAGGCTCCTGTTGTCTCTACACACAGCTCATCGCCCGCGCCCCGCTTTGGCGTGCACGGACGATGGTCAAGCGCTGAAGCCGTGCCAGGCGCGGGCGCTGCAGTGATCGCACTCTGTGCTGCTCGCTGCAGTAGCGCCATGGACGGCCTGTAGACATTTTGTTTTGCTGGCATATGAGGGGCCCTGAGGAGTATGGTGCTGCAAGCGGCTCCAGGCGCACCCACCGAGAGCCGCTTGAAGGATGGGGCCACGACGGCGAGCGCCCGGCCAGAAGCAAGGCGGCATGGGTCGGCACCAGCCTGGCGGCTGCCGCCACACCGTCCCGCCCCTTCAACCCACCGCTGCCACGGCCGTGGTCGGCCGCGTCTGGGCAGGCTCGCCCGCTGACCTGCAGGGGGGGCGGTGAGCAGCTGGTAGCGGACAGCGGCGCGACTGCCGCGGCGGCGCCAGCCCCGATGGGAGCGGATGCTGCTGAGACTGGCCACCACTTGCGGCGCCGCCCCATGACAGCAGCACCTGCCCCCAGCAGGCCGCGGCCCGCTTGGGGCACAGAGCACGATACGGCAGGCACGCGCCGCCCATCAACGGCCCGGCCAGCAGCATCGGTCGAAGCTGCATCGCTGCCGCCTGCAATCAGCGGCAGCCAGCAGGCCCGGCCCTGTCTGCGGTCGCAGCAGTGGCAGTCCGAGGGCGTCTCGTCACGCCCCAGCGCTGTACAGGAGGCGCGGCTGAAGCAAGAGCTGCGGGAGCTGGTGTTTGGGCGCGGACCAGACGGCGGAAAACACGGCTGGGGCGTTGCGGGCAGCAGTGAAGGTGACGGCTTTGTCCCTCTGAGCGTGCGCCTGGGTTGCCTTTCAGGGCGGCAGCGGGTGGACGCTGAGCAGCCTCTTGTGCCGCAGCAGCAGCCCTGCGCAGCACTGGCAGAGCATGGGCGACAGCACGCAGTGACGGGGGCAGTGATTGCAAAATCCCCTTGGAACGAAGGGTATCCAATGAGTGAGGAGGAGGTTTGCTACACATATGAACAGGCCAGGGCAGCAGCAGCAGCAGCAGCAGCAGCAGCAGCAGCAGCAGCAGCAGCAGCAGCAGCAGCAGAGTCGACGACATTGGCATTGCCACTTGGAACAGGGGCAAAGAAGGCACATTCAGGCGCCACTCGGCCTCAGCGTACGGCTCAAAGGGCGGCCACGCAGGCCTGCAGGGGCCTCGCCTCGCCACCACCACCCCATGTGCCAGGCGGCCGTGATGAAGTTTTGCAGCCGCCACGTGCCTCGGCCGCCGCAGCCTCTTCGCCAATTGCGACAGAGGCAGTCAGCACGCCAGCTGCGCCATGTGTAGAAGATCTGGGGGCGGCTGAGCGGCGCAGGCTGGATGAGGACTTGTCCAGGCGGGAGCAGCGGCTGGGCTGCCAGGCAGCGGCGCGCATCGGGGAGTTGTCGATGGAAGCGAAGGCGCTGCGGTGCCAGGTGAGTGCGGCTGGATGTGTTAGCCCAATTAGGTTGCAGAAGCCACGGGGTTGTTTTGATTATCCATGTTAAACATGGTCTGGGTGCTGATCAGCCCATGCTGCAAGGGGCTTTCTTTGTGTGATGCAGCCTCGGTGGTGCGCCAGCTGAGGCCGCACTGCTTGGCCACCGCATATGACCGCATCTGAAAGCCTTGATCCATGCCTGACATCCACGGCCCGGCCACCACCTCAAACCACCGCAGAGGGAGCTGATTCAATCGGCGCTTTCAAGGCTGCAGGCGTCGCCAGGCTTCGGCCCGACCGTTGGCCGAGCCTGCCTGCCAAACGACGACGCGTGGCTGGGGGCCGAGGGCGTTGCAGGAAACGGCGGCGAACGCAGCAGTGGCCTCGGCACCAACAAAGCAGAGGGTGTCGGCAGCTCGCCGCTTGCTTGTGACCAGCAAGGGCGCCGCGCAGACCAGGAAGAGGCAGAGGGAGTCGACTTGTCGCGGGACACCTCTGAAGCTCAAAGCAGCTGGACCAAAAGCCGCCGCAGCAGCGGTAGCAGCGGCGGCGGCGGCGGCGTTGGTGGGAATAACGCGAGAGAGAGGGGACGCCCGCACGGCGCGACGGCAGGCGGCGCTATGGGCGGCGCTCCGATCCCCCGTGGCTGCACTGCTTTGCAGCTGGGTCACACAGGGTTGCGGCCGCAGCACGTTTCACGAGTTGGGTCCGCTCTGGACGCGGCCCCGTGGCTGCGCAAGGTTTTGCTGGAAGGTGCGTGGGTGGTGGGTGGCCAGTCCCTAAGCTCTATCTGACCACTTCTTGCGGCGGCAGCTGAGTAATGCACTCAAAACGTGCGGTCGATGCAGAACGAGGTCATACATTGCGCTGCCGCACCCTTGTGGCTCTTGTGGCGTGCCGCAACCGCACCAATGGCACCTACCCGCAACTGACTCCCCGCCAGGCAACCTACTGACTGATGCCAGTGTGGCTGAGCTGGCACACCTGGTGGTCTCTAGCGCGGCAGCAAAGCACATCCGAGAGCTGGACCTGTCGGCAAACTCTGCGCTGACCTGGCGTTGCTGCCAGCCGCTTGCGCAGCTGCTGTGCAGCTTCTTGCCGGCGGCTCGTTCCGCATCGGCAGGGTCCGCGGATCAGGGGGCGGCGATGGAGGCGGCGGCGGGGCCTGCGGGGGCCATCACAGGAGAGAGAGGTGCGCCCAACCCTGTCCGGCTGCGGCGGCTGCGGCTGGAAGGGGTGCAACTGGGCGACAAAGGGGCGGCGCTGCTGGCTGAGGCACTGGCTGCCAACGAACACCTGAGGGTGGGTGGCGCTGTGCTCGTTGTGCGCATGTTGCGTCTCTACGTGCTGCCTGTCTGTGCATGCCTTCGACCGTTACCGGGCGGTTGTGCAGTAATGGTGGTCTGTGTGCTCTTCATCACAACACGCCTGCTTGCCTTCACGTATTCTGCCCAGCTCAACATGTTTTGTCAGCTTGACGCATTTGCCCCTCCCGCATACGTCGTCCCGGCTGCCCCTTACCTGCACTGCCAGACGCTGCTGCTCCCCCGCTGCACGGTGCGCGACCCCGGCACCGCCGCCGTCTGCCGCGCGCTGCGCACCAACGCTTCACTCCACGAGCTCGACCTGGGGTGGAACGCGTGCGGCCGGGCCACGGCGCTTGCGCTCGAGTGCTCCCTGCTGGCCAACGCCGCGCTGCCCCTGCGGCGGCTGCGGCCCTGCAACACTGGGCTGACGGACCCGGACGGCGCGGTAATACTCGACGCCCTGGCAACGCGCTGCGGCGGCAGCGGCAGCAGCTTCAGCCGCGGAGGCGGTGGTAATGGCGGCGGTGGTGGTGGTGGTGATCGCGGGGGCTGCGGCTGGCGGCTTGTCGACCTGTCCCAGAACCTTCTTGAGGGCGGCGCCGCGCTGTGCGCAAGGCGGCTGGTGGCGGCGGTCGCCGCGGCCGACGCGATGCATTGCGAGGACGACGGGTTGTGGGCTGGCCGCTTGGTGGACGAACTGCGAGCGTTGGAGGGCAGCGAGAGCAGTAGAAGCAGCGGCAGCAGCAGCAGCAGCACCGACAGCAGCAGTAGCAGCAGTAGCAGCAGTAGCAGCAGCAGCGGCAGCAGCACCAACAGCAGGGGTGGTGAACTCAGAAACGACAGCCATGGCTCGAGGCCGGGGAGGCGCGGCGCGCTGCAGCCGAGGAGGTGGCTCCAAGACGGCGTGCTGGCGCGGCGCGCCTTGGTGCTCGATGGCAACCCACTGGGTGCATCCGGCGCACAGTGCTTGCTGCGCGCGCTCGCGGGCTGCCATGCGGTTGCGCACATCGCGCCGGCGGCAGCGGGCTGCGAAGACAGGGCTGGGGCGGCGTTGGCAGCCTCGCACGGCGGCTGGCCGAGCGGCGGCGGCGGCGGCCCAGCCGGCGCTTTGAGGAGCTTAGGCGGCGGTTGGGGCGGCGGCGGCGCCGGCGCCAGCGGCGGCGGCGGGGCGCAGGTGCAGGCGGCGGAGTGCGCGCTGCCGCTGCACGTCAGCGTGCGCGGCTGCAGCCTGGTGGCGGGCGACAAGGGATTTAGGGCCGGGATGTCAGACTCCACGCAGGGCCTTTTGGTCGCACCCCAGGTGGGGAGGGGGGTGCCGGGTTGGGTGGATGGGTGGATGGGTGGATGGCTGACTTGGTTGTGGGACGTGCTGACAAGATATCTTGATTGCAAACGTTGGTTTGGCGGAATGGTCGGCGTCCAGGCTGTACCAGCACCACACACTTGCAAAACACGCAGTCATCCCTGCCATTCACGTGCATGTGAAACCCCTCCCAGGTGGCGACGCTGCACGACGCCGTCGCCAAGCCGCCAGCCTCGCCCGGCGAAGCGGCTCCGGCTTCCGGGGCGGCCGGGGGCGCAGCGCCGTCCGCGGGTGCGGCCCTGGTGATCACAGAGCGGGCGGCAGGGCTGAACCTGAACAGCCCAGCAGGCAGGTACAGCCTGGATCTGTCCCACCCCGCGGCAGAGCACGTGATCTGGGAGCTGCTAGATCTAAGATCGCGGCTCCAGAACTTCCAGCAGCAGCAAGAGGCCGCGTACGCAGCGGCGGCGGCGCAGGCAGCGACGGCGCAAGCAGCCGCGGGACCAGTAGCAGCGGCGGCGGTGGACGCTTGGATGCCCAGGCGCCGGACTACAATAGATTACACGACTGCGCTCCTGCGCCGCGCGTCGCGCTCTGATGCCCCATCAAACCCAGCGGAAAACGTCACCGCAAGCAGCGCCGAGCCGAATGCAATCAACGCCTCGCCGCCCCAGGCGACTCCTCCGAGCTCCAGGCGCCAGACCGCGGCAGATGCGGCCGGCGTCTCGCTCAGCGGCGGCGGCGGAGCATCGGCGGCGGGGGCGCGCGCGGCCGGCGGCAGGGGGCTGGTGCAGCGGTTCAGGGCCCCGCCGGTGGATGCCGTCTCGATTGTGGAGGTGCAATTGGATGGGGGCCGGCCGATGCGGCTCGAGAAGCTTCTGGAGCTGAAGCCCTGGGCGCAGGCGCGCCGGCTGCGCCATCAGCGCTCCGGACTGATCGCTGAGAGCGCGAACGGCAGCGGCAGCGGTAGCGGCAACCGGCTGTCGTCCGACGCGGGGGCGCCGGCGGCGGCCAGCTCCGGCGGCGGCACGCAAAGCGGGCAGGGGAGTGGCAGCGGCAGCGGGGCGGGTGGCAAAAAGAAGTCCAAGGGGCGGCGGTCGTTCCAGCGGGTGTCGTTCCTGGTCAAGGTGGCGGCTGTGGTGTCGGCGGAGGAGCCCCGGCAGCTGCCGGACGTGCTGCTGCAGTGGGCCGTCAAGGTGGGCTTGGCGCCCCGCCCAGCTTGCCCACCACGGCAGCGCAATCGCGTCGCTGCGAGTTGCGTTGCTTTCTGACAGCGGGGCGCCCCTTACAGGCGGCCATCTGCTGCACACTTCATCTCTCATGTTATTGGCTGCTGACCTGACCGATTTGATCAGAGCCGACAGGCCGTTCTGAGCGCCCCCACTCCCTTGCCTACGACCTTGAAAGGTGATGCGCCAGCCCAAGACCGACGACCCCTGGCGGCTGCGCCTGGTGGAGCTGCTGCTGCCAGACTGGCTGCTGGCCCCACACCAGGTGGGTGGCCGGCTACGTGTTTTGCAGCAAGGCCAGCAGTCGCCGCATTTGTCGTGTTTTCGTGACGTTGCATATCAAATGATGTCACCTTTGACTGCTACAAATGGTCGTGGGCGTCAGCCAGACCGCGTTGAAGTGCCGCGCAGCAGAGTTGGACACGGGCACTCGAACAACCTCGTCTCTCAGGTAACCCGTCCGCGGCGTGCCTGCGCGCCAGCGCACCACCCCCCAAACCAGCTTCCAACCTCAACCCCCAAACCCCAACCCCTTCTACTCCACCACAACCCCAAGGCGCTGGCGATCCTGAGCTGCTTCGACCCTGATGTGGGGTCAGACCAGCGCATTATCGCTGCGCAGCTCGCGTACGCGCGCCTTGCCGACCCCCCCGCGTTCTGGGCGTCAGTCATGCCCGCGGCGCTCAAGCCGCTCCAGCAGGCAGCGTTCGCGGCGCTGGCGGCGCCGTGGCTGACCGCCCTTGACCGGTCAAACCTGACGGGGCGGTACGTCCTCAAACTGGGGCGGCCGCTGGACAGGTGCACAGGGCGCTTGCCGCTTTCCACGCACAGCAGATGTGTGGGTGATTTGTCATTGTAATTTTGGTTTTGCGATTTTGGGGGTGGAGGGGGGGTTGTTGTTGCGTGTGCGTGTGTGTGCGAAGGGGGGGGTGTCGGGAGGGTGTGAGTGTGTGGGTGTGCACGCGCGCGTGCATGTGCGTGTATGTACGCGTGCGTGCATGTGCGCGTATGTACCCGGGCGTGCGTGCACGTGCGTAAGTGCGTGCGTGCGTGTGTGTTGGGTGGGGGGGGAGGGGGAGGGGACACCACAGGGGCCGCTGCATGCTTGCGCGACGAACCAGGTCTCAGGCACCGCCCATCCTCATGACATTCTGATCACATGCATTGCGCCGTGCCACATCACTGCGAACGACACCAGGGCGGCTGCCCACAGGCTGCAGCTTGCGGCGCTGCAGGAGAGCGCTTGGCGCGACAACCGCTACTTCGTGAGCTGGCGCAACGCTACGCTCAACGGGGTGGCCCTCAGGGACGACGCCATCACAAAGCTGCAGGTGGGGAGGGGGAGGGCGCGCGCCAGTGGTTGGCCGCCGTGTTACAGCGCACAGGTTTGGCATTCATGAGAGGTGCTCTTGCCTTGACAAACTTGCACGCACAACACGCTCGCTTGCGTGTGAGCACCCGCAACCCCACACACACACACTTACACACACGCACACATATGCACATACACACACACAGGCGTACGCCATCCCCCCTGCCGGCACCCTGCGACTCGACTACGTCTGCTACGCCACCCCTGGCCCCTTTGAGCCCGTCGCGCCGGGCCAAGACTTCCGGGCCCTGCTGCGGCGCGTGCGGGCGGCGCGCAGCGAGTACCTGCAAAAGGTGGAGATGGGGCGGCACCTGCGTCCGGGTTGGGGGTGGCAGGCGCCATGTGTGCTGCTGCTTGACCACGCTGCCGTGCTTTTCCAGCAGGGCAGAGGTAACCTGTGGTGATAACTGACTTTTCAGTTGGTCAAAGCCCGTTCAATGCTGCTCCTAGCGAGTGCTGGGGGGCTCTTTGCACTCCACTGGTTTCCTTGCGCCCACAATGCATGCGGCAGTGCTCCAGGCGCCGCAGACTGCGGACGTTCCGCCAGTGGCGGGGGGTGCGCTGTGGCACCGCCCAAGAGCACTGACACTCCCGCGGCGCACTGCCGCGCCAACCTGCTCGGCCGCAGGTGCTGGCGGTGCGCCGCGAGTACCTGCCTGGCGGCCGCACGCGGCGCGAGGAGGAGGCCATGCGGGCGGCCAGGGAGGCGCGGCGGGTCAAGCGCGCGAGGAGCACGGCCGCGGCCTCTTACCTCGGCTTTGGCGGCGGCAGCGCCGGCGGCAGCGGCAATACCAGTGCCAGGGGCGGCGGCGGCGTCGGCGCTGGCAGCAACGGTGCTAGCGTCGGCGCCAACGGCGCCGGCAACGGCGCTGGCGCCGGCGGCGGCGACACCCCGCATGCCACGGGAGCCGAGGCCGGCGGCAGCCCGGTCACCTGGCGCGACGCGGCCGGCGCCGCTGGCGGCGCGCAGGGGCCGGAAGCTGCTGCGGTGGTCGGTTGGAGCATCGACCGCTGCAGCTACTGGTGGGAGGGGACTGGCCTCGACCCTTCGGCGCTGCTTTTTGAGCCGACCGGGAGCAGGGCCGCCACTGCCGGGGGCGGCGGCTCTGGCGCGGGCGCGGGCGGCGCGGCGGGCGGCTCCAGGGCCGGCGCGATGGCGGGCAGCCGGCCGGGGAGCGGGGCGCGTGGCGGGGGCCCCGCCCTGGTCAGGCGGAGTTCTCTGATGCGCAACCCCCCAGCGGGGGCTGCGCGCGCGAGCATCTCCAGCGCCGCCGGGCTCCGCGGCTCAGTCACAGGCGACGCCGTCGCGGCCGCCGCCGCCGCCGGGGCGGCGCAGAGAGGCCGCTCCGCGTCGGCCTCCGGGCCGGGCGCCCAGCCCGCCGCAGGAGCAGCGCAGGTGGACCCCGCCACGCGCCGCACCAACGCCGTCCTCGCGCGCCTGCTGCGCGCCGGCTCCGCGGCCGAGCTCGCCACCGCGTTTGCGGCGGTGAGCGATCCCAAGGCGGTCGTCGTGGTGTCGCGCCTGGCTGAAATGCTGCCCGGTGGGCCGCAGGCGGCGGCGCTGCTCATGGATTCGCTGCCTCCAGTGGTGGCCGCCCGGCTGCTGACGGACACCACCGGCGCCCAGGGCGGCGACCGCTCGCCGGCCCTGCTGCCCCCGCCGCTGCGGGCGCAGCTGCTCTCGCTGCTCCCGCCGCGCTCGCGGGAGAACCTGCGGCGCGCGGCGGCGGACGTCGCGGCGGCGGCGGCGGCGCGCAGCGCGGCGGGCCTCGCAGCGCTGCGGGCGTTTGCCTGGGGCGACCGCGTGAGCGCGGCGCAGCTGGTGGCGCTGCTGAGGGCGATCGGGCCGGGGGTGGCTGAGGACAGGTGCAGCGCTGTCGTGACGCTCTGGTCCAGGGTCGTTGACCGGTCAAACATGGTGCAGGTGGGCGCGGGCGGCTGGGGCGAGGTCGTGCGCTGCGGCAAGCAAGCACCAGCGGAAGACTGAACAGGAGTGTAGGCCGCAGACAGACTGCAACACAGCACCGCACGCGATCAGGGTGCTGGGCACGTGCCTTGGCGATCGCTGCTGAGGGCTCCTGCAGGACTGCGTGAGGGCGAAAGGCCCCCGGCCCACTCTGCCGACGATTTCGCTGCATCCCTTTGTCAAATGATCATGGCAGGTGTTTGAGTTCCTGTCGGGGGACGAGCAGCTGGAGCTGATGCGGCGGCTGGGCCCGTACCTGGTGTGGGCCACGCTGGCGCGGCCAGAGGGGCTGCACTTCAGGTGAGGGCCGCGGGCCAAGGGAGCAACGAATGTGCGCGGAATGTGCAGCCCGAGGGACCTCTCCATGCCGCCGCAGTTCGACACTCGCTCGGGGCCTGCGCGTGGACGCCAGCTCGCGGCAGGGCACAAAGCTGGGCGCCCGCGTTGCCCAGACACGCAACCCTGCCGGCTGCGTCGGCCCCGCGCTGCAGGCTGGACCTGCGGCAGCCAGAGCAGAGGGACGTCGCGCGGGAGGTTGTCAAGGTGCGCGCACCGCCTTTTCTGCGCCATCCGCGGCGGCCGCGAACCCGCACCCGGCGGGATTCAGTGGTCAATCCGCGTGACGCACGGCTTGCGAGTCGCTGCTGAGAGGCGGTCCACCCTGCATCAGCAGATCCCATCATACAATGCCTGATAAGGCGGGGGCGGTGGGCCGAGCGTCGCAACACCCAGTAGGCAGGCCGGTGCCCCGCGCTCACTCCGCCTCACAACAAAGTCAGCGTGCTTCCACGCCTGCATCCCACCTCCCACCCCGCGCGCCATCCCTTCATTGATCCTTGCACCGCACGCGCCCCAGGTGGCGGTGCGGAAGTCCCTGGCGGAGAGGGCGCGCACCGGCCAGCGCGTGCGGCAGCTGGAGAACCTGCTGGCGGAGGGCAAGGCGGTGGCGGACCCCGAGGACGACAAGCTGTGGCTCAGCCTGGAGAGCAAGCACCACCTCCTGGAGTTTGATTACGCCAGGTGGGCGCGGGGCACGTGCAGGGCTGTGCTGGTGGCAAGGTGGGGCCCGACGCTTGTGCAGGAGAAGCCTTTGGCCGCTTGCGTGAGAGGCCTGCTGGCTGGGGTCGCATGGATGCTGCCGAGAGCTATGTTTACGGTCGGGAGTGCAGTGTTGCTGACAGCAACAGCCCTCAACCCTGCACGTGGGGTGCCTCAGAATTTCCATACCCAGTGACTTCCGGCCCAACGCCATCTGTGCCGTAATCCGTGCTGCCGAGCGCAGGACCTGGGAGCAGGAGCTGCACTTGATGGCAGGGATGGTCAAACGCATCCAGCGGGCCTGGCGGGCGCGCAGGGCCCGCCACGCGGCGCAGGCAGCAGCAGACAGGGCAGGCGGCTCTGCTAGCGGCGCGCCTGCGGCGGGCGGTGGCCGCACAGCCAGTCGGCGCTCGGTCAGGCGGCGCGGCGGGGTGGGGGACCAGGATGGGGGCGGTGATGATGATGACGCTTGCTCTTGCACCAGCAGCATTAGCTGCAGCTGTGAAAGCTGCAGCTGCAGCAGCAGTGACGGTGGTGGTGGCGGCGATGATGGCGATGCGGACGATGCCTTTGGCGGCCTCCACAGCCGGCCCGATTCAATGATTTCGCTGCGTAGGGAGAGTGGCTGGGAAGCAGGCACGCATTCCGATGAGATGTGAACCCCTGACCAATCTGCTTGACTGCTGTGACATATCTCCCACCAACTGTAAGCAATTGTGCATGCAGTGCTGACGCCCTGCCACATATGCCAGCTAGTCGCCCTGCCCTACCTGGTACGACCTGAATTCCTGCAGCCTACGTGCAAGGCCACGTCCAGAGGCTGCATTCTTGGACGGCAGCTTCAAGCGATCCAGCTCAATCGCATAATTAGAGCTAGTCATCACGAGACGCTGACGCGGCTGTGCGCAATGCCATCCTGTAGAAGCAATGGTGCGTGAGGATGCTTGCTTGCAGTGCATATGGCCCCTGTAGTGACAAGGCATGATATGGGGCCAAAGGCACACAAACCGCAGGTGTAGCGACCCAAACGCCTGTGAAGTCCGGCCACAGCCGCCTTCTGTTGACTTGGTGCGGAAATGCAGCACACACAGGCGAGAGCAGCCGACCCACCCCACCGACGACCCAGGCCCAGGCAGCCCGTGCCGTGAATGCGGCAAGCACTGCTGTTGCCACTGCTGCTGATGATGATGGTATATTTCAGTCCTAATAGTGGGCATACTCGCACACGTACGCGCGCACACCCACACACGCACCCATCCCCGCGCGCTCACACGCACGTAGGCACACCCGCACGCACGCGCGCATGCGCGCCTGCGTGCAACACCACGCCACCGCAGCGTTGACGTGTATCAACTAGATACAACACACTTAGCGGTTGTAGATATCATTCATGGCCACCCAACAACCTCCCCGTCGTGTGGCAAGATTTTATTTCCGTCCGTCGCGCGCAACAGATGATCTGCGGTCTGCGACCATTATTGTGATGTTTTGGACCCAATGAGCAAACATGGGTGTGCCCTGAGCTCGTCATAGCTCGTGGAGGGGGCTTGTCGGCATCTCGGACCGAGGCTCCGTGGACCCGACGTTATGGACGTGCACACTGTGTTCCCTGCTGGCACGGCCGCAGCTTTTGTCACCACTCTCGTTCTTCTGCGGTGGGCTGTGCAGTCAGCAGCACCGACTACAAGCGCGGACGAGAGGCGGTTCAAGGCGTTCAAATGTGTACGGGTATGCACATATGCAGCCTTGGCCGCGCTGCAGGCCACGCTGATCGTGGCGCGGCAGTTCCAGCACTGGCCGACGCTCTCGGCGGTCGATGCCGATGGCGCGTGTGTGCTGCTGCTTTACTCCTTCACCCTGGTGAGCGCCGGGCTTGCAGCTCGCGCATAGAACTCATATACGATCCTGTGAATGCAGCAGCAGCGACCGTGCCATGCGGTTGTGACGTTGTACTGCACCTGGGACTGCCGCACTCCAGGGGTGACAACGCCAATCTTCGGACCGAGCTTGGCCCTTGGTGCTGCCTCGACTCCCAGAGTCATCCCTGCCGGCCCGCACACGCACCGCGCCCGCTGCGACGCCGCCGCAGGTCGTGCTGGCCTGCTGCTGGAGCACCCAGCTGGGGCTGCGGCTCAGCGGCGTGCTGCTGATGACGATGGCGCAGGTGCGCCCAGCCGCCCAACACCGGCAGGCAGCCGGCCAGCGGACAGCAGTTGTGTGCCACTGCCTTGTACTGACACCGTTACTCAACCCTGGGTGCCAGCCGTACCTGGCAGCTTGTCACAGAAAAGTGGGCAGCTACAGGCGCCACAATCTCAACCCTCACAACAGGCCTGCAGTCGCCGCTGCACGAACCAAGCCCCACACCCACCCCCACCCTCGGAGCCCTCCCTGCCGCCGGCCCCCCACGCCGCGCGCCGCCCTCGCCCCCCCCAGGTCGGGCTGCTGCTGGCGCAGGACGCGGCGGGCGCGCCGGGCGCGGGGGACGAGCTGTTTGATGGGGAGCACATCGCGCGCGTCAGCCTGCACGGGCTGCAGCTGGTGATGCTGCTCGCCCTGCTGGTCTGCGAGGTGGGGCCTTTGGGGTTATTGGGGGACAGCGGGGGAAGGGGGGCAGGGGCGCAAGGCAGCAGGCGTGGGTAGAGACCAGGGGGATAAGGTGTCACTGTCGAAAGGCGCGCGGCGCCACGCCAGCGAGCGAGCGAGCGTGCAGGGAGGGAGGGATGCGCGGCGCGGCGGAGCCCCCGCGCCCGCGTCCAGGCGCGGCGCGGCTGCGGCTGCAGGTGGCCGCGGCACGTGCGCCGCGCCTGCGGCGCGCGTTCGCCCGGCAGCCGTTTCAAACACATGGAAGCCATGCTGCGACAGGCAGCACCCGATCCCGCGGTTTGCTCGCGTCTGGCGCCACGTGCGCAGGTGGTCGTGCAGCAGCACCAGCTGCTGGCGCGCTCCTCATACGACGGCCACTACGAGCCGCTGCTGGACGCAGAGGAGGCCGCCGCAGGGTCCCGAGGCAAGCGCTGGTGAGCGAGGGGGGTGGGGGTCGCCGTGCCACCTGCAGCAGCGTCGTATAGACAGGGCAAATGTTGAGGCCTGAGTTTTGATGCGTGGCGATTATATGCCAGGCCCCGTTGTATTTGCAGGCTGATAGGTTCCTTGCAGAGGGACCTCGCTCCGCGGTCGTTGATTGGGTCGGTGCCCCTTCCGCGCGCCGCAGGCGGCCCGGCGACGGCCGCTGGCAGATGGCGCTCGGCGCGTTCCGCTACGTCTGGCCCCCCACCGGCCTGCTGCGCGCGCGGCTGCTCGGCTGCTTCGCGCTCGTCATGGCGGAGCGCGCGATCAACCTGGCCGTCCCCATCCTATTCAAAAACATGGTGGAGGCGCTGTCCACGCCCGAGACCGCCGCCGACGCCGCGTCCTCCCCCCTCGCCCGCCTCGTCGCCGCCGCCTCGCGAGTCGCCGGGTTCAGCGGCCGCGAGGAGGCCGGGCCGGCCGCCGCCGGCGGTGTTGGCGGCGGCGATGGCGGTGACAAATGGGGTGCGTTGGTGGAAGCGGGCGGCACGTCTTTCTGGGGGCTGTTCTACCCCTGGGCGTTCTACTACCTGGGGACGCAGTTCCTGAGGGGCGGCGCCGGGGGTGAGGGGCTGCTGGCTGATGTGAGGGACATCCTGTGG